CGGCTAACATATGCAGCAGCTCCGGCAGGACCTATGAAACGTAGCAGGGAGATAGGTACATAACAAAAAGGCTCACCTGAACTCCAAGGCCCCATTTCACAAAAAGGGACTCACACCCGCCTATCTGAGGCACAGTGACCTCCTGCAATTTTATGCGGGGGTGGTGTGGGGGGTTGATCTGGGTGGCTCATACAGGGTTGTGGGGGGAGTCTGCCAGGGCATAGGCCAGAGCTAACTAATGGGCGCGGGTCGGGAGTGCAGGGAAGGGTTGGGATTCCGGGGGAGATATTAAGGGAAAGGGATGGTGATAATAATTTTTTATCGCTATTCAAAAAAAGTCACATGCATCCTGCCAGAGTAATTAACAACCACCCTGTTAGGTAGGCCATCGTGCATTCAAGAAAGAACTAATCTACTACAGATTTTTATGTGCTGAGTTAATGGGAATCGGTTTAATATTTGCAGGGTTTATGATGGGTTAGCGCACAGCTAGCCAGATATTCAGACTGGATTTGACATTTTTATTCCCAAGGACCTGGTATAGGCCCAGGTCCTATTGGTATTTTATGGTATTAAGGAGTATCATTGCAGGATGGATTCTATTCCAAGTCAAGCTGCCTTTTGCAATTGACTGATTGAACGAAGGTCTCTGTTGCTGTCTCTCTCTGTCTCTCTCTTTCGGTGTCTCTGTTTCTGTCTCTCTGTCCCGCTGTCTCTCTCTGTCTGTGTCCTCTGTGCCTCTCTTGTCTGTTTTTGTTCCTTTCTGTTCCTCTGTCTCTCACTATCTCTATGTCTCTGTCTCTATCTGTCTGTGTCTCTGTCTGTTTCTGTCGCTCTTTCTGTTTGTCTGTCTCCCTTTCTGTCTGTCTGTCTGTGTCTCTCTCTCTATTTCTCTCTCTTCTACCTTGCAGAGCGGTCTTATGGAAATAAGAGAACAGGAAATGTTTGCCCACTTGAGCTGTTGCATACTAGAAATAAAGGCAAACCCACTTGGAAAAATGGCAACAGGATTATTTCTGGATTTGTGCAGCAGCACCCAGCACATGATACAAATTAATTAGACAGCAGAATAAACAAAGGGCAAATCCTAAACCCAACTCTATTGTCATGCCAAGATGCATGTTTGTTTGTCCACCTTTGCAGATGTTTGTCTACCTCTGTAGATTTTCTTTCTGCACATTTTCATCCAGTTTTTTAAAAAAAATAGGAACACACAACCCTCCTTAGGGCCATAATATGTAGCAACCGCCACTCTTTCACTGGGAAGAGACAGAATGGCAGGTTTGTGGGATGGAATTTTCTTTATCTTCTCTCTTTATACAACTAAATATTGTGGTGAATAAAGCTAAGAATTTTCTGCTGGAATACTGCGATTGCCTATTTTTTCTCTGTGCTTCCCTTTCCTTCTCTCCTCTTCCTCCATGATTTCCTTCCACTCCTCAGGTAGCATCTATTATTCTGAAAGATCTTGGAGAAGCTTCAGAAATTAGAAAATAAAACAAAAAAATAGTCATCTTAACCTTTTGGACTGCCCACTCCCTTTCCTGCAGTTGCTCCAGAGTGAAATGCAAACTGGAAACCAATGGCCGGGGCCCAGTCAGAAGAAAGCTAATGGTCAGCTTAAAAGGCTTTAGAAAAACAGGGAAGTGCTTGAAGAGCAGGAAAGATGAGACCTGAGAATTGCAAAGAGAAGACTTGTGCCAAAGAACCAGACAAGCAGTTACAGGAAGACCAGTATAGATTTAATGTCAGGACAACAATGCAGAGGCAAGAGTAGTTTGCTGTGGGGATCAATGATCCAGAGAAGTGAGGGGCATTAAAGCAGTGGTCAGAAAGGTTGGCAGTTCGAATCCCTAATATATTCCTCTCCTGTGTGAACATGGGGTTGGACTAGATGACCTCCAAGGTCCCTTTCAACTCTGTTACTGTTAAAACGCTGGTTAGTTTGCTAGCTTAACCATGGCTTACAGAAATCTGCATCGGCACTACTAGAATTTGCAAGCCAAGCACGAACAAGCAAACCCAGAGGGTGTGGAATACAGTAACCCAATAGGGGTCGGCAGCCCTGTCCAAAATAGGCCGGACTACAAAGCTCATAATTGACTGAAAATGATGGACCGGGATAGTCGAACTGGGGCGAGCAATGAGGCTGGCCAAAGGTGGCGGCGTCTTAGCTTGGTGGGGCCGATGAAAAGCCGTTTTCCTCCGCCTCGCGTCGCCGAGGTTTAGCTCGGTGCAGATCTTCCACTCGCGTCGGCATGAACGTGGGAAGTGGGACCCCTCCACGGGCAGAGACGCGTCGGGGCAACCCTTCTGGGCGGACGCGCGGGGTCGGGGGCGAGCAATGCGGAGCGGCTAGGGCAGCGCCAGCAGGATCGCGGGCTGCGCGGCTGGCGGGCGGGCAGGTGGTGGCGCCAGCTCGCCCGTCCCTGCCCGCCGCCGCCCCCTCCTCTCTTTGCCTTCGCAGCTCGAGGCGGCGGCGGCGGCGGGACGATGGAGGGCGCTTCCTTCGGAGCTGGGCGGGCGGGCGCGGCGGTGGATCCCGCGGAATTCGCCAAGCGGCCCCAGACCCTCCTCAGGGTTCTCGCCGGGGTAAGAGCGCCCCTTCCTCCGCCCCCGAAGCCCTTTGCTGCCCCCGGGAAAGGGAGCGACGCCACAGCGCGGGGGCCGCTTGGCTCCTCTCGCCTTCCTTGGCGCGGGGGCTCCGAGGCACCCTCCTCGTCCCATCATCCGCAGCCAGTCTGGTCCTTGGGGGGCGCCAAGCGGGAGCCGGGCAGGTGACTGATGGGAGAAGGGGAGAGCCGTCCAGCTGCCTCCCGCCGCTCCTCCAGCCACCCGACTGTCCCCTGCAGGTCTTCCGATCCCTCCCCTGCCCCTCCCCACGCTTTGCCTTGGGAGCAACAAGCAGGCGTCCCCGCCGTGCCAGCCCGCCCTGCCCGACCCTGCTGCTCGCCATCCCCGAAGCCAGGCGCCACGGAAGCGCCGATTGCGGCATCTCGGCCGGCAGCCTCTCAGCCGAGGGGGCTCCTCCCGTCTCGGGGCTGCCGGCTCAGCGGCGGGGAAGCGAACGAGGCCTCCCGCCGGTCCGAGGGGAAAGGAGGGCAGCGGCCGCCTTCGGGGGAGCGGGCTCGGCACCTTGACGGGGTCCGCCGGGGAAGAGCTGCTCTCCTGCCCAACTTCGGCGGCGATGGGAGCCCCCGGCCCCTCCTTTGCGAGGCCGGTTCTCCTGGGGTCTCCTCCCCGCCTGAGGTGGGCTTTCCTGCCGAGGCCCCCAAAGCTGCTGCGATTGTGCTGCCTCTTTTGAAGGGCAGAAGTGATTCCCACGAATCTGTTTGGGTGAGGAAGGCGGTGGGCATGTAGGTAATGTCATTGATATGCTACCGGCAATTATCTGAAATACTACCAGTAAGATAATTAAAAAGAAAAGGATTGAAAATCTATATGGAAAAAAGACCAGGATGTGTGTGTTGTTATTGTTGTTGCTGCTGCTGGGGAAACCTGTAATCTTTAGTTTAATGTTTTAAGTCAATGGAGAAACACTCTCACAAGCATACAGGACTCTGAAGACAGGTTTTCCTTCATAATCTTCTTTGGCTGCGCAATCTCAGACTGAAATATAATCTAGAGGAGGCTGTCATCTGAGCATACACAAAGTATTGTATATTCTCCACTTCCTCAGACCACATTCACAAGGAAACTCATTTCCTTAATTAACCCATTTTCTTTATTATTTAACAATATCATGAATGCACTAAATTGGGATGGGTCTAAGCAATATGATAAACCAGATTAAAATGAGCCGAGTAGATTTGAATACATACAGTCGCCAGGCCAGTGTTTCTCACGCTTAGACTTTAAGATGTGTGGACTTCAATTCCCAGAATTCCCCAACTAGCATTTCCTACTTCAGCTTGCTGGCTGGGAATTCTGAGATGAAGTTCACATAGCTTAAAGTTGCCAAGACTGAGAAATACTTCATTGACCTTTCCCTGGCCTATTTAAATGTTTTAGCCTTATTCAGGTATGGATTATTTTCTGGAAAATAAAGGTGTTTATGGACAGGGGAGAGGGAGAAATGATATATGATCATGAAAAGAAAGACAATTATCCGTGACAGTAACAGAGTGACCTTGTTGAAGGCTTCTGTGTTGTGTGAACAGCAACCTGTTTGTAACCAGGGGCTCTATTGTTTAAATATCCCCTTTTCAGCCTTTAGTTTTTGTTCCTCTCTCAGTACTTTGAGAGGGTCAGTAGAAACCAATAAAATAGGTTTGATAAGCTTGTTCATACTAGTGCCCTGCTCAGGCTGCACCTATAAAGAGGGTGCAATCTAGGGGGTTTCAGCAGCCCCAGAAAGGAACTGGCCACTCAGAAGCAACTGCAAGTTGAGGCTGATCAAATCTAGAAAGATCCTCTTGCCAGAGTCAGGCTATAAAGCAAGCAGCCCTCATTTTAACTCGCCTACCCACCCACCCACCTCCTGAATCTGGTTGCCCGTTTCTGAACAGCACTTGCTATCTTCTATTTTGTGGGCACTCTCACAAAATGGCTGCCATGGGCTGGGCTTATTAATGGCTGAGCTTCCAAAATGGCCGTTACCGTTTCCCTGAATGCCTGCTTATCAGAATAGAAATAAATAAGATTGCTCCCCTCAAAATGCTTCCATCAGCTTGATTGGGTTTTTCCCTTTTTTTCTGGGCAAGTGACTGGTCTCCCAAACCAAGTTAAAATCAGCCAAGTCATCAATATTTGGGGAAGGTTGGCACCAGTCTGCCCACCCTTCTTCTGTAAAGCTGTCTGTTTTTTTCAGAGCTGCAGCAGCTGCAAATTGGGTAAGCAGCACCTCTGTGTTTTGAGGCCTGTAATGTTGAGCAGCCCAGAGCCCTGGTGTGTTCCCAGCCTTGCTTCACCCAAATGGTTTCTGCAGGCCCTGAAGCTTTCTCTGTGTCATATGGAATTGTTCACTTGCTGTTGCTGAACTTTGCATTAGTACTATGTGTAGTACAAAGTTTATTACCTTGCCAACAAGGATTTTGCTGGGGACTTTATTAGATTCTTAAGGATATTGTTCTCAGCCACAAGATGCAAAGATAACTTGAGTCATGCAGTAGATGAGTTTCCATGATGTGGATGCTCACTGAGCTCAAGTGATGAAGGAAGCCAAATTTAGCAATTTCACAAGCTGGAATTGTTAGGTCGGCGAGAAGCAGCAGGCAAGAGGCGCGAGTGAGTTTCAGCACTTTTTATTGCAAGAGTAAGTGACTGTGCTCTGCCGGCTGGGCTGCTGGAGCTCACCTTTTAAGGAGCTCTGGCAGACCAGCTGGCCAATGACAGTAGTTTAAACTTCTAGGGGTTTGGGCAACCAATCCCCGGTGAGCATGTGAAAACATGTAATTTTAACAACGTCCGTACGTGTGTAACACCCATCCCCTCCTAGAATGAACAATGTCCAATCCCCTGCCTACGTAGTTGACGTAGTCTTTCAGGTAGGTGGGGCATGCCAGTCTCCTACTTGACCTGCACAGATCACTTGTTCCTCAGAGCTGGGCCGGTGCGGTCGAGCCTGCTGTTCCTCCAGCTGCCTGGGAAAGAACCTTCTGGAGCTCCTTGCCCTGCAAGCTCCAGCCTGGTTCCTTCAGCTCCTGAGATGCCATTTCTTCGTGGGATGGCTTTGGATGTAGCTATGTGTTCACGGCTTGGATTGGATGGTTGTCCCTTGATCTCTTGGCTTGGTGGGGCCAGTTCCTGCCCATCTGCTTCCTGGCTGGTGGTTGAGCATGCTCCGCGGGGTGGAGACCTGGGGTTTTCCAGGAGATGTTCTGAGCTGGTGGGTGCGGTCCAATCGCCCTGGTTCCTCAGTTCAGCATCCCCCAGGCAGTGTCAGAGCTGGTCAATATGCCTCCATCAGATTCGTCTGTCCTCTAGCTCCACTCGGTACAACTTCAGCCCAGTGACGGCCACGATTCGCCCCGCCAGCCAAATTGGGTACCCGGTGTAGTTGTGGGCGAATACCTGGCCGTTTATGTTGAACTCCCAGGTTGGTCGAGTGGAATCCAGGGGGTTCTCTGAAAGGTAGGCCGGGTGTTACTGGTCGAATCTGGACCTCAGACTTCTCCCCATCAATAACTCTACTGGACGTTTGTTGGTGGTTGCACGGGGGGGTGATGTATTGGATGAAAAGGAATTGATTGACCTTTTCCTGCCAGCTTCCTGGTCCTATCCGGGTGAAGGTTTCTTTTGTGAGCCTCACCATTCGCTCGGCCTGTCCATTGCTTGCCAGATTGAATGGGACAATGAGAACATGCCTGATCCCTTGCTCTGCAAGGAATGCGTCCATTGTTTTGGTGGTCAGTTGGGGGCCGTTGTCGGAGACTAGAGTGTCGGGTAGGCCGTGGGTCACAAAAAGTTTCCGGAGAGCTCTGATGGTGGTGTGATTGATTGCATGCTAACGAACTCCAGCCATTTGGAGTAAACATCCACCACGATCAGGAACATCTGTCCTTCTACTGGTCCCGCAAAGTCAATGTGGATGCATGACCACGGTCCCTTGGCTGCTTCCCACTCTCGCATGGGTGCCTGGGGTGGGGCTGGTCATGTCTCCTGGCAGGATCTACTCACTCCGTGATGTCCTTATCCATATTGGGCCACTAGATGTAGCTCTGGGCTAGTGCCGAGGTGGCGCAGTGGTTAAATGCAGCACTGCAGGCTACTTCAGCTGACTGCAGTTCTGCAGTTCGGCTGTTCAAATCTCACCGGCT